CTTAGGACAAAATAGTTAATGTTACAATTGTACAATTCCTGTACAGCATAAGACAAAGTCCTGTGAACAGACAGTGTCAATGAAAGCTGACAATGTTTTACAGGTATGTCAGTGGAGCTAAGAACACTCAGCTTGCTCATCACCACCTGATGGTAAATGTACTGAACCACCGAACTCTGCACACTTACCACTTCAACTCTCAGCTGCAATCATACTAAAGAAAACATTAAAAACAAACAGGCATTGACTGCTTATACACAAGCAAAGGAATAATCAATTGCCTGTGTGTCTTGTGCTCTCTTTTCTGTGTATTTCAGAGTATCCTTGGCATCATGCTCTCATTGGGAAATGTTTTTAAAATGCAATTTGTCTGTAGCTGTTCAATGTTTCTGCACCAATGTCACCGTATATTGCTTGTAGTAAAACTCATTTCTGTTCCTGATGACTTTGGAGAATTGACTGAACTCCCTGATTTCGTCTGTTTGGAATATAATTCACCAATGACGTTTCAGGCAGACTACATCCTGTAGAGGGCTTTAAACCCTGTTGGTCATGGACAGAAAGTCAACAGAAAGACTGAAAGCATCTGCTTTCAGGCTCCCAAGCTCCATTTAGCGATCTGATCTCATAATGCCTGAATAGTTCATACTGCGACGTAAGAACATTATCATGTATTATGATAATCCAAATAATCCAACTCAAAGACATACGCACAAAAATCAACATATTGCAGAACATCTATCAAAAAATAATCCACTTCTTATGCTAAATATCAACAAGATAAACGTAATCTCCTCCTCACACTCTATCAGCCTCAATATTCGGACCTTAACATATTATTTTTGTTTTTTTTTTTCCACCAAATCTTTGAATTGTATCCCTCCAGCCTGGCAACATTATGTAACAGCATTACAGTACAACTTTCCTGTGATCTTTCTTGTCACCACCTTGACTTTACCAGTCTCTTTTGATTCCTCAGATCAATTACTTACTAAAACTGCCAGGACTAGTAGTTTTGGGCAGATGCCGCTCCAACAGAGGGTACCAACGCATTTTTTAAGGTCTATTTCCAGCTGCACATAAAAACATTTTTTGGACCTCTAACTAGTATTTATGGCTGCAACATGGTGAATGTGGGATGAACTTAGAATAATGTACAGTGTCTATAGCTGTGACGCTAACCTGAGTTCTCTGTCCAGCAGAGAATTAATCTAAACCTAACCCTAACCCTTAAAAGAATCAGTTCATTGTTCACTTTGGTTTTTCCACTGGATTTGTTGATAAATAGAAAAATATAAAACGTCCCAATCTTTTGTTTTAAAGTTTGTTTGATTCTTTTAAACACAAGCCATGCTTTATGAAGAAAGACAACACTCAATATGAATTTCGGAAAGTGTTGTATAGTTTGACTACAGTTTATAGTTACTTATACCTGTTAAACTAGTCTCGGTTAAAACTGTATGACACCCACCAACTGTTCTACATTTTTATTTATCCTTAAGAATCCTTGTAATTTGGTATTTCTGTCAGGCTTTAGTTATAATTTGTGGTTAACACCTAGGAGATGACACATGTTCCTTTCCAAAAGTGTCATAGGATCACTTACGAAAAGAAATCAAAACAACACACAACAAATACAAATCAAAATTTTAAAAGGTTTTCAGCCTGACCTCATAATGTCAGCACTGGCTCCTAATGTCTGTAAAATGATCTAGGTCACTACACTAACACTCACAAGTTCTGCACACAGACACACACGTATGCGCGCACACACACACGTACTCAAAACACCCTGGGGCAGCAATGACAATACACAATACCCCAGATGACCTAATAGGACCACCATCACTTAATCCTCCCTCCCGGATGTGCGGTTGAGCGCGCACACACATGCGGAGAAACACAGACAGAAAGGAAGGGACAGTCGTCTGACCTCTCTGTCCATTAGTGTATCCGTCTCCCTTAATGAAAAGAAAAATCTAAAATCCTTCCTAAAGTCTTTCAGCTTTACTCAGAAGTCCCCAGGCTAGAAACAGAAACAGTCATCATGCTTTTGCAGCTTTTGGGTGAAGTGACCACCTGTTGTAGTAAGTACAACCACCAGCAATCTGGAAATTTGATGACCCTGGAAAGTCAGTCACTTCCCACAACTTGACTTGTTCTATGATGGAAACTTGACACTTAAAGACAGAGGAGAAACTGTACCACACCTCTGATCAGTCCAGCAGGATAAAATCCCTATGAGACTATACAGTCACACATGTTGTTCACACTAAAACTCTAACCTGAAGAGAACAAAGGTGAACTGTGAGGTTTTGTTGACTCACATGTTTCTTTTTTTTTTCTTTTTAAAAATCTATTCATACAACAGTTCTGCTTCCTTTCAACCTAGTCTTTCGAAAATCATCACACATCACAGAATTTTCAGCCTGAGCTAGCTTGAAGTGCCTGTCCCTTGATGGATCTTTAAACAAATAAAAATCAACCGGACTTAATCAGCCATAGCGATTTTACAATCATTACAGCTGATTGTGGTCCAAATGATGCCACTTTTATTGTGCAGGTTTTTAAATCTTCTGCACTAGAAGAACTAGTATTACACTGTATTGTACCTTCGAACAATAATACCCATTGAACTGACAGTTCACAAGGATGGTAATCAAATACCACGACTCTGTGTTTACTGCACCTTAGTGGATGGTCTGGAAGGTGACATAAACCTTCTATTTTTATATTCTAAACCTTTATAATAAGAGTGAAAAATTAAAATCTGTTGACATCCACATGAATTAAAAAAATGTGAGCTCCAAACATCTGCTTTTTGGTTATCAATTACTGCTGTCTTGTTATGACAGCAGGGAAAACAAAAACAAATAAACAAAAAATCCATTAATCCATTAGTCAACTTACAGAAAATTTAATATTAACTATTATGGTTTTAATCACATTTCAAGCAATTATACTCTGCATTGTTGTTTAATAGATCAATCTAAAAAATGGTAAAGACATCACGAAAATAATAATTAGTTGCAGCTGTGGTTAATTGTTGTGTGTCGGACACAATGGTATTAGACATTTCTACTTTGCCACAGCTCGATCACACCTTGAAAAAACAGGAAAAATAGGACCCAGGGAGAACATAATCACAACACAGTAATAGTTTTGGTGCGAACATAAGCATATCTTATTTTCAGTCAACCTTTCACCTCCGTTTGTCTTTTAGTTCTAGCCAAATAAACACTAAAATACTTTCGCTGTCCTCTGAGGCTCAAGACTACTGACTAAACAACAGTGTAGGATTGTCAGTTTCATTGAAAACACGATAATATATTTTTCTGTTTATCCTTTTTCTTACTCCACACAGATACATTCTGATCCATTAGCCGCATTTCTAAAAATCTTTCCTCAAAACAGTGTGTGCCACTTACATGTGTTTTTATGTGTCTGTGTGCTTGTGTGGTTGCACAGGGATTAACTCCACACAATTTAAGCCTTTCTGCTAATCTATCAACATATGGCTACGAGTAAAAACCTGACATTTAGACTCCTTCTACAGAAGCTAAATGTGCACACAAAGAGCCGTAACATGATTATGTTTTCTCTCTCTAACACAAATATTAAACCATCATTTCTAATACAGAAACATGCCAATCTCTGTTGAACAAAACCTGCATATTAGTAAGTGACTAGTCAGATTCTGACACATGCTGTGCAACAATCTGCTCCCAAAAATCAATATTCGAATAATCAATTAATATCAGAACTGTGTAACAACTCATCAACAAATGCCTGGAATGAATGACTATTAGTGGACAAGGAAAATTTAAACCCTGATTTTTACCAATTAGAGCTGTATCTAATCTAACACTAATTTAGAGAATGTAGAGAACGTGTTCTCAACAATGACAGTGTATTCTTACGTTTAGCTGCCAGCCTCAGACACTGCGTCTTAGTTTCCTGTAGAAAAAGACAAAAAGAATAAAGCTGAATCCTGTACAGCAGACTAACCAAAAGAATGAATATTTGCATATAAAACACTGTACATGTATGCACAACATGTTTTGGGTACTATGTATGACACAGTTAAGTGTACACGGATTATATCAACTCAGAGCAGCTAACAGGTGACAGTTGCTAGTTCATTGCGTGTGTGTGTGTGTGTGTGTGTGTGTGTGTGTGTGTGTTTATTTACCCTCTCTGTGCTGCTGACAGCTTGAAGATAGATGTTGTAGTTCTTCCTTGGAGCTAGTGGAGGATTCCAAAAACCCTGGAGAGCAAAAAAAAGTTTAACTTTATTTGATGCAAAACATGGATTGATCTCTACTGATTTCACTTTTTCCTGCAGGTATTTACAACATTTAGAAGACTATCTACCAATTTGGACAATGTAGCCTTGGATAATATTTTGCATATCTCTGTAAATCCTTTTGGTTGTAAGTTTAATCATGCTTAAAACAAAATAAATGAGTTCTAAGTATATTGTAACAAACCAACTTAACTCCAGTTTGATTTTCCCCTTTCCTGTTACATTGATTTCCATGAGTGTTTTGCACAGCCTAATACTTTTGTATTGTAAGCTGACAGTGCTTTTTATTTGCTATTTTTGCTGCACTACATGCATAAAGGGTTATTCAGATGAAAAGACTTGCCTGGTATGTCTTGTTGTCTCCCACAGTAAAAGGAAGTGGCTCAGGCAGGTTGCTAGGGGAAAGTTGGGCAGCATAATAATATGGGGATCCACCACTAGATGCACTGTGGTAGGAAACTGGTACCTGGGCAAAGAAAGTATTTACATTTCAGTTCAATTCAATTCAATTTTAATTGTTTAGCGCAGTTTACAACATATGTCGTCACATAGGTAACATGGTAAGGTATAAACCTCACACATTTAAACAGAGAACCCTTTGGACTCCCTCTGAGCAAGCAGTTGGCAATAGTGGGAAGGAACCAAACCCCCACCCCCAAGGGAGGGGAAAAAAACCTCAGACAGAACCAGGCTCAGGAAAGGCAGCCATCTGCCTCGACCAGTTGATACAATACATTTATAAATGTGGTTAACAAATGCAATATATAGTCTCTTTCAGACATGTACTCCTTTCAGGCATCTACAAGTATCAGCTTCATAGCTGCATGAGCACTGTGATAACTTTTTCATAGAAGAAGTTACTAGGTCAGATTTACCAACATTTATGTATTGCTTTCACACAGTAAAATCCAAATTCGATGCAGTCGCATTAATGGCTAGGCATGCAGATTTGACAGTGAAACTGAAAAAGTCTCTGTTATCAAAAAAAAAAAAAGTAATAATAAACTTGGTATGACAGAAAAAAAACGTTTTGACTCTCGTAAACACATTAGATTTTACAATAATGTCATTTTTCAATAGCTTTTCTACAGCTCAAGACTTACCATAGGACCACTGCTATGTAAAAACTAATTAAACCGCAGTTTATAAACTGTGACTATGTCTGACAGTTCACCTGTCTGAAGTAAAGCAAAGTATTCAGTGTCACTTGCCGTAAGACTGATCCTTTCCCCCAAGTTGATAAGTTTACTATTGGTTAAGGTTTAGTCTTTTGCTTATTAGTCGCTTCTTAACCTTGATGACCAATCTCAAACGTAAAAAATACACTAAAAAATGCCACAAGCGTACCACAGCTCTCTTCACCACACTGGCAGATGAGCCTAGATGAAGCTGTAAGGAACATTAGTGTAAAAATGACCTATGACTGAATGCCATTACTTTAACAGACTGGTGTAGCCAAAATTGTTGCATAGCTCATGTCTGTGGAGAGCTTATATTTTCAATTAAACTGAAGATCTTTTAGTAAACAAAGATTACTTCAAAGAATATATGTCTACATTCAAACAATGTACATAAAACAATGTCTATAAATCTGACTGACAAATGCAATATAATCAGTGCTTAACAAATGTATTCGATCACCACCCAATGTAAGATTTATGCCACTGCTGCCCTAAATGAACAGCATTGGTAACTGCCAAAATCATGTTATGTTTCTGTAATGGTTTATGCACCAGTGCATAGAATCCCTTTAATCAAAAGGATATTTTTAATGCTACAATATAACTATTATTGTAATCCATGATTTTTCAAGTTTACTGTTTTATAATAAACTTCTGATCAAGATGTCAAATTATACAGTCATGACTTGATAATCCGACACTAAACCTAAAACCTTCTTTTATGTCAGATAGCAAGGCTGTCGGATTGTCAAGACGGAGGTCGAGATCCAAGGAGGGCTCGATGCTTGAAGGGTGATTTGTTGTTAATATTCATTGTTTATAGTTGTTATAATACTTAGTTCAGTGTTGGAACACTTCGCATGGCTGGATTTCACGCCTAATTGACCGGTGCACTTGTGCACAGGACCGTTAGTTGACATCAAAGGCAAATACGTTCAGACAGCAGGCTGAAGTGACCCAAATCCGTTTTTTTCCTCCTATGCAACCTGTATGTGGTCGTTTCATGACAGTCTGAACAACACAGATCCAATTAATGATGAATATCTGAATATTTGGCGCGGTTGGGGGGACCACTTCCACCCCAGGGGAGCGCTCCAATGGGGTGGAAGTGGCCAGAACGCACAGGCAGTACTTCGCTGCTGATGCCAGTTTAGTTAGCGATCACAGTTCTGTTTCCACCATTGGTGGCGGCAGCGAGCAGATATATAGTGGCAGATATGCTCCACCATTACCATCCGTGTTTACTTCCGCAAACACTGAGCATGCTCGCTGCGTGTGATGTTGTTGTGTCCTCTTCTACGCATGTGGGACACTTTTGGGTCGTATGAAGTTCACACAGCAGATCACAAACAAGTTGTAATTAATTGGAAATATGAATGAACTTGCAAAAAAATCGGATTTCACAAAAAAAAATTCCGAATTGAGCATGAAGTCCTGCAGTCTGAACGTAGCCAATCTGTCGGATTGTTTAGTCAGATAATTATTATCCTTATTTGTGACATAAAATTTCACGTCAGAGTCGGAATCCAAGGCTGTCGGTATGTTAAGGCTATTTTTCATGGGTTCCGTTCGTTTTTCCTAAAAACCTGTCGGATAGAAAGGTTTTCAGATTGTGAAGGGTTGGATTATGAAGTCACGACTGTAGGTATCTACTTGTATTCCTGAACAGAAAAATTTGTCTTAATGGTTAAATGTAATTTCTGACATCTCAAAGAAGCCCAGTGAGTGAAATTTGACCTCATTTCTACTCAAAATGGTACAAAGTTGGTATATATATATACATATAAAGTCTGCAGAGATCCAAAGGTCCAATAAGCCTAGTGGTCAAAATAAAATAAATTGTTACATAATGTATGTTAGGGTTAGGATTCACATGTATTAGATAGGTTGCAGGGGCACGGCTTATTAAATGTACATAGAATAGATTAACATTTACCTCGTAACAGTCAGAGGAAGCCTGTCGACGTGTTCGTTGAGGATTCACTTCTTCCACCACAATCTGGTATGCACTGTAGCCAAGAAGACAATGTAAGTATTTAGCATTTACTGTGGGAATACAAATACGAAAGAATAATTTCCAAAATATATCATGCATTTATGTGTCGTATTTATGTGATCTTGTCAATGTAATTAGAGTTACCCTTTTTGTTGATGTGAAAAAAAAAAAAAATGTACCTGGTTGCACTGTAAAGTTTAAGCTTGACTACTGTATTGCTCACAAAAAATGTAATTCATTTTATTTCTATGCCCTGTTGACAGCTTTTGATCAAACATGGAACTACCTCTGTACAATATGCACTCCAATTACACGCCAAAAGTAAGGACTAGTGACTAGCCAAACACAGGTTGCTGTGAAAGATAGATGTACCTGATGGGCGCTCCCTTGGCCTGGGCAGGTTTGAGCAGGACAGTGATGGTTGTTGCAGTTTCATTTAGAAAAGCCTCTGACCCATCGTACTCATCTATAGTTGGGGCTACATAGAGACATAAGTAAGCATTAGTTGTACTATTGTGAAACTCAAACGTGATACCAAAAATATTTGTATCAACACCACCTGTTAAAATCTATTTTTACCTGAAATATTAGTAGTCACGTTAAGCGTCGTTGCAGGACCGAACCCTTTGGAGGTAGATGCTCGAATCGAGAGCTGGTACGTAACACCTGGGTGAAGCTGGGAAAACATGTGATGGGTAGCGTTTGAAGGCAGAGACACTGTGAGTCCTGGTCGTTGCAGAGGCACCGAAGGGTCAAACGATCGCACACCGCTGTAGCTGATCTGAGGTGGAGTAGAAAGACATAAACCAGTGTTTAACATTCTTGTAAAGGAGCATGCTGGTACTTTGGTTCCTACAAAAGCTTCTACTAGTGTTATCACCTCATATTGTATGATGACTCCATTGGGTTCAGCTGGTTCCTTCCAGTACAGACTTATTGTCTCTTCAGATGGAGTGGCTCTGAGAGACTGACTGGGAACTGGACCTGGAACTGTTATGACACACAGACATACAAAATCATAAAATAATAATAAAACTAACAGTAAAATTCTACTCTGGAAATGAGAAAACTCCTACGAAACAGAAAAATACAGACGAAAGACAGACAGCAGGGACTTTGGTATCTCACTTTGGTGTCCCAAAGTTATAGTTCAACAAAAGTTTGAAGGACTGAATTATTTTGTAATTTGCTCCACTTCTCAACAGTTTTAGTATAAAGTCATGGCAGCAGTTTTACATATATTTACATTCAACTCTCTAATTGATAGGGTAACATACAAACAACAAATGAATGTAAACCAATACCTTTTAAATGGGGTAGTAAATATACAAATTAATTAAAAAAGTGTGTGTGTAATGTAACGCACCATCTTCATCAGTTTGTATGATGGTTTCATCACTCTCTTTGCGCCCCTCTGGATTGGTCAGTATCATCTTAAGACTAACGTTGGTGTAGGGTGGCAGGTTTCCCACCAGGTGGCGTGGTGCTGAGAGGAAAAAGCAATGAAAAAAAAATTATTCTATTGTTAAACAAAAATGTGTTTCTTCATATTACATGTAAATGATTTTTAAATGCGTTTGGTCTGACCAACCAACAAGAACCAAAGACTTGCAATGATAATTACAATTACAATTATAATGAGCAGAATAAACAGCAAAACATTAGTTTTCAAGGACTGGTTGTATCTACATGATACTGTCTTGCGTATACTTTTAAATGTAAATTGATGCCAATTTAATCAGTAGTTTGGATAATACAATTAAATCAAATGACAACCTTGAAAACAATATGGTTGCTAATAGTACTGGTCCCACTGTTAATCAACAGTCCATTCCAATTGGACTATTTACTGGAATATGAATCTTTTCATTACACAATATTTCAGCACCTAAATTAAGCTATGTCTTACTAACCAGACAGTTCTCAGTCAGCAATTGAAAATCTCTAATTTGTTAAAAATTTCTACATGTTTGCTAGCAAAATCTGTATCCACAGTGATATTAAGCAGTACCTTTAGGATCCATGTCCAAGCAATCAGCTTTGCTGTGGTTGTTGGCAGTCGTGTAATGGTAACAGATGGTGACGTTAAAGGTGTGACAGCGGGTGATATTATAACCCAGCGATTCCCAGTCCACCGCGATCAAACGAGACCGGGTCTCGGCAATTTTCAGCCTCTTAGGAGTGCGCATGGGTTCTACAGAAAAACAGGGAAGAAAGAAGGATATCCACAATGATAAGGAGCATAGTTGTGTCCCCTCAAACATACTGGGGTAGTGCAAAAAATTATAACTGTATATGCTGTACAGTATTGATCATAGTGTGTATATCCAGATAGAAGAAAATAACAATTTTTGATAAATTAACATGAGAGAAAAGTAAATTACAAAAGTGTCAAAAGAGTTTCCAAGCTTTAGAATTTCTGTGCACAGCTTTAACAAACTGTACCTTGTGCTGCCAAACATGACCATGCTGAGTCAGCATTTTCCCTGGATAAAACAACTGTATTTTACAAATAACTACTTCTGGTCCATGCTGCCATTCAGCCATTTCTGAATTGCAATAAATTTTACAAGGCACATCTTTGGTTTCCATCTTTTATGTGTATTCAGACTATTATTGTCAATATAATCTACTTTCCCTCCTTGCTGCCCAGGGCTTTAATTACCTTAACTGGCTCATTTAACTGGATCAATAACCCTCCAGTCCCTACACACACATACATTCACAGTAAAGACTGCAAACACAAGATCAGGCCCTTCCTTGTCTGCTGTCTGCCTGCTCATAAAGTCCACTATATGCCAGCCAGTGCATTTACATGAATGTTTATCTACTTCTGCTCCCCCAGTCAGTCAACACTAAGGGTCACCTCACACAGAGGAAATACTGCCTGCCAAGCTGCTGTGGCTACTTGTCGACGTGGAAAAGCTGCATTTTTCCACAGGAAAGCTATTATCTTTAAGAGCTACTAATCGTTGTCGAAGAGTTATTGCTCTCGGTATAGGAACTACTTCTCTAACTAGAGACAATATCACTCAATCAAGACCAATGTCATTACTCCCGAGGATGTAAAGCTCTAATATAAAGCCTCTAGAACTCACCCAGCAGTGACGGCTTGATCTAGCAGGGTAAAGCCTGATAAATACGGGACAGCATAGACTAGCAAGTACAGAGCTACAGAGCTAATGCTTCTTTGACTTTTTTTTTGACATTGGAACAATTTTTTTATTTTTTTTTTTAACAGAAATTTAATATACAATTTTGTTTATTATTCCTTGCCATAAGTGCCCATAAAAAATATAGGAATCACAGGTGTCTTGGTGCCCTCTCCCTCACTACTCTACGCAGATTTACACATCTGGCCTCTTATCTCCACCGAGGAGGTTGTGTTTTAGACGGCGTTTGTCTGTTTGTTGGTTGGTTTACAAGATAACTCGAAAAGTTATGAAGGGATTTTCATGAAATTTATAGGAAATGTTGATAATGGCACAATGAACAGATGATTACATTTTGGTGATGTTCTTACCATCTGGTTATTTTCTTCATAAAACTGTAACCGCTGTTAAATCTCACAATCGCTCAGAATGCTGTCGTTGCACCGTTTGTCCACTAGATGGAGCTCTGACTCCATTAATTCCTCAGTCCTCACTGCTGTCTTCTCAGTAGTACAGGAGTAAGCTACAGCCAGGCATCATTACAGGAGTGGGCTGAGCGGAGCTACTGACAGATAAGTTCATAGCGACGTTGTGACATTAACAATGACTCAACATGTCTCCTGTTTCATTTTAATTTTCTTTACCATGTGTCATGACGACTGATGCATGCTTCGTTGTCTTGGTCATGCTTTTACGTTGTATTGCTAAAGTTGTGCTAACCTAGCTTAAGTTACTCCCTGTCTGTTTATGTTAGCAATAACATCGCTGTAGTTACGCCAACGTACCATAGCGTTAGCTAACAGCTTAAAAGCCAGTAAGTAACTGCAGACGTAAGTGTACAAAATATTTGAGAGTACAGAACGACCGTTCATCACTCCGTCAGCTTGTTATTAATATCAATGTTAATTCAAATGCTAAAGGTATGTTTTGATTATCCATGAATCTAACAGTGTAGATAAAATGAATGCGGGACTTTAAAATTGGCTGGAAATCACAATATAGTGGAAATGAGCTGCTTGGCGGAGGTCTGTGCTCTCCAAGTGCTTGTCTAGTTCTGTTTATTTTCTAATGATAGATGTAACTGTAGTCCAAGGGATATTCAGGGACTTGGAAGTTTTCTTGTATCTACTCCCTGACTTCTGCTTTGTACTACCCCTTTCATAGTGTTGTTTGGAGGGTTCTTTTGTCTGAGTACTGATTCACCAGTGACTGGACCTGCCAGATACAGTTGCCTTTATACTACAGTCACTTGAGACACATTTTCTGGACTTGCATAGTGGGTTAGGGCTAGGGTTTGTGTGAGTGTATGATTATCATAAGGCTGATTCAGAGACACCTCAGTCGTCCTGGGTCTTTTGCTGCCTGACGTGTGAAACAATCCATTTTGCTATTATGGTAAAAAATAAAACAATCTCCAGTGGATTATTTTAAAAAACAAAATGCAGAGAGAGCAAGAGGTCCAACTCTGACACAACTGACAAAGAGTGCAGGTGCAGGCAGGGAGATCTCAGTTGACTTAATTAAACAAGTAAAGTAGCTCACTACACTCAATCGCGATGGCTAACGTAAAGGTAGGGCTGAAAAGTGAAACTAATAACAACAGCGACCACAATTTTGGCTTCCTACAATTAAGTGAACATGATCGACTGCAGTAATGATGCAGTCTGCTTGTCAAAAAGGAACTCTCAAAGGAAACGGTAAACTGTAAATAGTAGTATTTATTAATAAGCAGATGTTCAGAAAGTGAGGCGGAGTGAGGAGCTTACCAGTTACTAGGACAGATATTTTTTTTTCTTTTTAAAAAGAGAAGCCACAAATTCAGTCTCCAATCAATAACAATCTTTACATCAATGCAAAACTTGGTTTTACAGAGAAAGCTATTCATAAGAATGCAAGGTGTATTGATACTTGTGGCAATCCTGTACCAGAATATGGGTGTGGGCGGTAAAGGGGAGCGACCAAATCGTGTTCTTGTGACCACATGAGAAATTTGTCTCACCAATGCTACGAGTGAAAAAGTTAGTCCGCAGCCCTGTATAGGCAGTGCCATTTGACTTGGTATTGATAATCACTCTATTCCGTGTTGGCATTTCATCTTCTTTACATCTCGGTCTTGTTGTAACCTATTTGCTTCCTTGTGTCCTTTCAGGATTTTTTAATAAAATCAGCTCCCCTTAAATAGAGACACACGGCTCTTCCTAACCCCTCTTTGTCTTGGTCTGTGTTTTTATCCCGGCCTACTCTCTCAGAGGAGACAACACAAGGACACAAACTTGTTGCTTGTCCTGACAACCCATTATCTGCCTGTCACTCTCACACACATGCACAGAAAGTCACATGCACGTACACTCTCACACTTGGTTATTACCCAAATACACACATGTGCTTTAGGTTGTGACAGAATCAAGATTAAATCTAGGCAGAGCATGCATAGCTGTGTGTGTGTGTTTCTGTGTGTGTACATGGTCGCTTATCTAAAAAAAACTGTAATAATAATAAGAAGAATTCACTGTCAAGGGCAAATGCAATTCTCATATACACTTACAAATGCACACACTGAGCTCTAAGCAAAATGCAAACATGTCCAGATTTGCTAAGTCGTTCAGATATAAATATCCTGCTAATAAACTGGCACACAGACAGAACATGATGAAGAAAGAAAAAAGACAGAGGAAGAAATATTGTTCAGGTAATTGTCTGCAGAGCAAATATTATTGGTGAAATGTGTGTGCGTACAGGAGTGTGTGTGTGTGTGTGTGTGTGTGTGTGTGTGTGTGTGTGTGTTAATAGCTGAGGGGTCAGAGAATTTCATTTTTACTTCAACCCGTTATTGGATGGTTGACATTTAAATAAAGCAAAAGGGAGACCCACTGCTTTCTGTACTTTCCCTGTATTTCTGACACGTTCCCATTTATCTCATTCAGTCCCTTCTCTTCTGTCTCTCTTCCTGTTCAAATCAATAATTGTGATCCTCACCATAAGCCTATCTTTTAGGATCCCAACCCCCCCCCCAAACACACACAGGCACGTACACACACATGGGGAAATAATTTGTATTGATTTCAAGTTCTCTTGATGCTAACACTGCTTTGCTAACACTGCAGAGAGATGGTCTTCAACATGGAACTACTAGCTGCGCACACACACACACCTGTTTTTCATCAGTTTAGAGGGCATTACATTAATTGCCTGAATACTTAACTTAACTCCAACCATAACCACTACTTGCCTAACCTTAACCCTTAACCACAAAATTTTATGATTTATGTTGTTGGGTCTTTTGCCCCAAAAATGGGAGGTGGAGCCCCACAACGTGACTGCGTAAAGAGATTTATGTCTCTGTTTCCTTCTCTCTCTCTCTCTCTCTCTCTCCCACACACACACACACACACACAACCAGCATTTCAATACCCCATTCCCCTCCTGACCCATAATGCATTGCTGCTTATCTTTGTCTATTTACTGTAGGTAATGAAAACAGGTAGGAAGCAAGGTAGGCGGAAACACAAAGACAGAAAATGGACAAATTGAAAGAAAGAAAGAAAGAAAGAAAGAAAGAAAGAAAGAAAGAAAGAAAGAAAGAAAGAAAGAAAGAAAGAAAGAAAGAAAGAAAGAAAGAAGAGTCATGAGGGTGAAGAGAGCAGCATAGAAATTGAAAAAAGAGGAGTGTAAAAACAAAGCAATTGTGGAAAAATAAAACCGGGTCTGGAGGGAGCAAGTGACAGATAAAGGGAATAGAGAGAAAGAGAGATACAGAGAGAGAGAGAGAGATGAGGGAGGGAAAGAGAGACAGAGAGGTGGAACAGGGAGAGACGATAACTAGTTTGGAATGAGGCCAGAATCAAGCAGGACCAAGTCCAACAGCAAACCACAGAGGCTGCCTTGTCCCTTTCCCCTCCTTCAGTAGACAGACAAACGGCTGGATTCATGTTGGAACTAAAAGGCTTTGTTCTCCACAGATGGAGCTTTGAACACAACAACAATACCAATAAACACCAACAATAACACCAAGGACGGAAAGCTTCATATCAGCAAAATCCAGAGGTTAGAATTAAGCAACAGAAAACAAAAGCAAAGGAAATGAAACTAAATGAAATAGAACTACACTGAAGGCACCACAACCATGTCCCTCAACATAAAGCATTTGGACGAGCCAACAAATATATGGTATAAAAGCATGGAGGGAAGAGAAGGAAGATTACGAAAAAGCGAGAGTGAAAAAGAGGAAAGGGGAGAGGATAGGAGGGGGGTGAAACAGAAAAGGTTGACAGGAGATGCAGCTAAATCCGAGTTAATCTGTCCAATTAGTTCCTGGTAATCCTTCCACTGTCATGAGGAAGACAAATGAAACTCTAGCCATTCTTTCTGTCTCTTACTCTAATTTCTTTCTGCATGTATCTGTCTCTTTCTAGGCCAGATTTAAGTACATAAGATGTTTTAATTTGCACTGCACCATGTTTTCAATTTACATTTGCAAGTCACATGGAATGTGATCCTGATTTGCCAATGCAGTCGCTAATTATAAAAACAGCAACTAAGACATTTTGAGCCGAAAAACACTTTGTTTTTCCATCTATACAGTGCAGTGATAAGCGGTAGTTTTAAATTTATAAGGTGAGAAAAAACACACCGTATGCATGATAATTACATAGAAATGCACATGAGTAAAATATAAAACAACTCAAAGCAACATTAGGAGCAATGACAAAGGATTCACTAAGCAAGCTTTTTAGGATCTGAGCATGACATGGCCTAAAAAGAAAGAACAAGAACAAGAAAAAGAAAGAACAGAACAAAGCTTGAAGACCTTAATCATACAAACGTACAAAAGCAAATGTCCTTTAAAGGATAAAGCTACTGGTTTTCTATATTTTTTATTACTAAAAAATTAGTACATTAAAATCAACAACACAAGTCTCAAGCCAGTTTCTCAGTGGACTCACTTTCTGATTTTCCTAAGTGTCTCAGAACATCACCCGTTTGTTCCTACTGAAGATGTGCATATTTAAAAACAGGTGTCACATATTGCATGGACTTTCATTTTTAAAAAAGACTAACTAATTTTAGGAAACCAGCTTGGAAGTGTAATTTTTGACCAACACGCTGCATACAAGAACAAACCATGCATCAGAAGACTGTTGCTGGATAAAAGCAAAAATCTGTATGAGTATAGCAGCAGGATGCTGCAATGCTCATTAAAATGAGGACTATATCAACCAGTTAGTAGGATAAGTCGGCTGTTGGTTGTGATCTTTTCACAGGATTGGTTTACACAAAAAATAGAAAAGACATCAGACTTACTATTTATCAAGACTACAATCACTCTCACCTGCACAGTATTTTGGTGATAAAAATGCACTCTTGAGAAAAACTGTCTTTATTGTATTCTTCCTTACATGCTTCTGTTTGTGTTTTACTGGTAGACATATGGAGTTGGCTGTGATGAAAGGAGCTGTATGAAAAAAAAAATCCCTTTGCTTACAACGTTTTCAGCACAGTTTCGTTCACAGCTACAGCTGTTCATTCCTTTATTTTTAATTTTTAATTTTTTTTCCATCAAACTGCTGAAATGTAGCATTGTTGTTATTTTTGATCTAAATGGAATTGTTTAAATCAGTTTCTACAAAATATAAATACAGGTTATCAATGCAAAAGTTACCCTTGCAAATAAGTGACCTTTATTTAAACCACAATTTGCCATAAATGACCACATGTACGTGGACTTACAAAGCATCACTGAAAAACTGACTGACTCTGAAGCACACACGCCTCTGCCTGTAAATCCTTTAGCTGCTATTTCAAGAGCCTGACCCTTTAAGTGTTGGACTGCTGACTGTGAGTGTGTGTGTATGTATGTGTGTGTTTGCGTTCACATATACAAAGAAGCCCATACGATACATTGTGTGTGTACAACATCTGTGTTTGTGTGTTCGGAAATGTGTGTTTTGTAATTCTATTCTTCCATAAATCCAACTGATGCTGAGTTTGTGCAACACAGGAGAAATACTGTGACTCATTTGAACTGTGTGTGTGTGTGTGTGTGTGTGTGTGTGTGTGTGTGTATGTGTGTCTTTCTTCTGTGTGTGCTCATGCTAGTGTAGCTATGGTTTGTGTGTACGTGTGTGTGTCTAACCTGCCATGACCAAGAGGTTTTCAGCAGAAAATTCAGGATTTGGATTAAAAGCTACTTCATCACTTTCTTCTGTCACACACACACACACACCTACACACACACACGCACACACGCACACACACAAACTCTTCACTTCAAGTTGATTATTTTTCACCCTTCAGACAAGAGCAATACATCACCACAGAAGAAAAATCGAGAAGAGTTGGAGAGGAGAGACAGGGGGAGCATGAAAAAGAAGTGGAGATAAAAAAGAAAGAAAATGCAAAGGAAGAGATGAAAAGAGACATGAGGACAAAAGAAGAGAGGAGAGAAAGAAATGAAAACCTTCCTGTTATCATATCAATTGCTCAGCAGTGTGTGCAATGTCTGCCTAGTATTTTATTAACTTTATTGGTTTTTAATTAACCAGTGTTTCATGTGGTGGCATGCTTGGGCTTATGCCTGATGTTTGTGCACATATTTTCCTGTGTGCGTGTGCGTGCATGTCTTCATTATATTAAACTAAATATTCAGTAAACTACAGGTGGTGGGATCAGACAAACCTAACCAAACAGAAAACGCAAAGGAATCATTACCATTTAAATAACATTTCTACCCCATGTCTATGTGTATGCCTCATGCTCACAACAAAACACAAACACCCCCAATCCAACTCCAAGGGTGTGTGTAGATGACCTCAGTCACTGGAAACAGGAAGAGATGAACAGGTAGGAAGATGTCACATACTTAAAAATGGAGTCAGCAGAACACACTGAAAAGATCTACTTAGTTTCATTAACCTTGTGATGTCTATGTCTATTCAGTGTATACTCAATGCATATAGTGTAAGAATTGGGCCCAATTAATGTAGTATTGTGTTTAGGATTAGAATTTTATGTAATCTGGGCCTCTTAATATCTTCGTCCACACAAACAGGTGGTAGCCCTCACGAGAGTGGCTTCACGGTCTAAAAACACAGATGGCACTGGGTCCCTCACCACCTCTACCTAAGCAACACACTCCTGCACACAGACCCGACTGTCAACCCCTCTATCTATATCGATTTCTAAGTGTTGTTCATTGTTGTGGTAATATTACTGTTACTTAAATTATTACTTGTGTTCCCCAAAAAATATTCTGACTGAAATGAAACATCTAATCATGACACAGTTTTCAGTTATATCACCAAGTCACAGTCTGGTACATAAACCACCATAAAATCACTTATTATTTTAACTGACTGTCAAGAGCAAATCTGTCTTTTTCTGGCTTGTTTCAAAAAAAGGAGCAACTGTTTCAGTGGAACTAGGGTAGAATAACCTCACCTGCTGATAACATCTTTGAACAGAACATTACATTATTTGTTCATGCTGCACTGTCAGTGTCTGGAATGTATTTAATTTATGACTACATGTCTGAAAATCCCTTTGATAATTCTGAAAGTTTAATGATTTGTTCCTCTTACAATTGATACACTATTAAAAATTAATAATAATGATAATTCAGGTATACAGAATGAGCAGATTTGATTTCCCAAATTCATAACCCTATTCCCCTGCTTTGGTCTGTTATCAGCATATTATGTGGATGACAATGAGTTAACATATTTAACATGAATGTGTTGCAGCTTGGATCAGGAGAAGAAGATTAATTTCCTTTTCCTGTCAAACAGGAAACTGTCCAATACATGAGTCGCCTGAACAAGTCTATGACTTCCTCTCTGTCAATAAACACAGAAGCACACATGCATTCATCCATCCACACACACACACACACACGTTGGCAGGCAGACATCAGTCAGGCCCTGTGGTTATGAGTTTTCATCTCTCTTTCATTTTCATTCTCCAGTTTCATCATTCTCTCGCCTCTTGCACTCTCTCGCCTCACTCCTATTCTCTCCTCTCTTTCTTTTCCAGCCTTATTGTTTTTCATCACCTCTCCATTGCTCCCTTATTCTGTTTCTCATTCAAGCTCATTGCTTTTATTTCTGTCTCTTTCTCTCCCATATCAACCCTCTCTCGCTTGCTCTGTCTCTCTCCCTCAGGCTAGCTGTGTTTATATTTCAGTCGTTTATTTCTACAAATGTCAGACAGTGTTTCTGCCCTCCGTCTATTGATCCACAGAGAGCGAAGGAGATGGGGAGAGAGAGGCAGGGAGAAAGGGGGAAAGGCACCGACAAGGAATGATGCAGAAAGACAGATGTAAAGAAGAAGGAATGAGGGATATGAGAGAATGAAGGAATAGCAGAAAGAAAGGAGGAATGAGCTGGGAGAATGAAAAAGCAGGAGAAAACATGATAAAAGGTGAAGAAAGTTTCCAGTATTTCATTTTTCTCTCAGATCACAGAGAAACCAAAGACTGACTCAGACTCCCCCCTTCTTTTTTCTCCAATTCTATCCCTCGCTACACCTCTGCTGCTTCTGTCTGCTTATTGTACGAATATTACTCCACCTACTAAAATATAGATATCAACACAAAAAGAACAACAGTAGATGGAGAGATCGATACATAATCAGACCTGCTGGAAAAACTGTGTTCCCAAGAAGACTACGCTGAAGTCAGGTTGTCTACGTTTTTCTTGCAAAAATCTAGTTTTTTGTTTTCTTTAAATCAACATACATTTTTTTGAACCACCACAATATAGAGATTTCTTAGAAAAGTATTTTTGTTGTTTGCTTTCAGTAACCAGCTAACTGAGTCATAACACCCCCATGGTGAGAGGCTGTAGGTGTCCTACCTGCACATTTGGTCCGAGTAATGAGAGGGGGCCCAGGCTTGCCTGTCCCTCCCTCTCCTGGTCGGGTGAGTAACACTCTGATCTCATACTCTGTGTCTGGGTCAAGGTGCCATAACTTGTAGTTAGGAGAGTTCACAGCGTGAGTCTCAGTCCAGCTGCCCGATGTCATACGGTACTCAACCTATAGGAAAGAAACAAAAATGACGATGTTCAATCTCAATCAGGAATCATGTTCAATATCAAATATTATGCATTTTCCCAAAGTGAGTTGGAAACAAAACTATAGGTACATCGTTTGTACATATTCGTCATTGAAAAATAGCGTACAACTTTATTAAAATATGCATACAGTATTTAGAAATGACTAATTTTACCCATGCTGAAATAAACAGTACACCGTAACACTGTTCACAGTCTCATAATTCCAGAAATTACCAAGGCTTCCAAACCAACATGTTACATTTCATTTGCTTCATCTGAGCATACACATACACTAGCCAGGCTAACTGTTCTTCCCCTGATATGCGAACAGCCTGCTGGCTCTAGCCTAATATTCACCAAGAGTAGTATTAACTTCTGACCTAACTCTCAGCGACAAGATAAATAACTGTTCCCTAAATGTAGAACCATTCATTTAATATGTTATTTACAGGTAATTCTATTTCCTGTTTTCATGTAAAATAATAAATAGTGATTGTTATGGTCTTTAATTGCCACTGATTTGAAATCAAAGCTCTATCAATACTTTGATGCCCTGATTAACAACATTACAGTGTTTTTACATAAAAGTTATTGCTAAAAGCACTCAGCATCTCAAAAAGAACATACCTCTTTTAGTATTATAGGTCCATCTCCAAATATAGAATTTGCGTTGAGCTGAATCAGCAAGTACGTAGGGCCGACGCCTAGCAGCTGAGGTGGGGCAATGGGGTGCGGAGGCTCTGAGGAGAGAAAACAATGAACATGATCATAAAAGATGGTTTTAAAGTGCCTTACCAGTTGGATGAACCACATTAAAACAAGGTCACAACAGAACGAGGATATTTGCAAATGAGCAGAACTTCGGTCACTGTGATAAAATGCCTTTTTAGTGCTGACGTGATATTTGTCACCCCAAAGAGATTTAATATAACACAAACCACCAGTGAACAATGACAACTCTGCTACGTGAACAATCACACTATTACAACAGCTGAGCGTTGTGAACATCATGGTGAACTAACTGGTTTAACATGTGGTCATCGAGGATTCAGAAGAGGC